GGATTCCCCGAAATAGCACGCAGCGTTAGGCTTCCCGATATCCGAAACAGTTTATCTGTGTTTCATCTATTCTGTGGTGTTATACGAACGTAATTTTATCGATTCAAACATTTGTTGACGTTATTATAAGAATAAATTTAGATAATACAACGATTTCTATAATATAGTATGGTTTTTAGTATCAGGGGTGATACTAAAAACCACGAAAAATAATGCAACAAGAAAAGGCATTTCACTAGAAGCTAAAGTGCAAGTGATTAGAAGATTAAATACTGGTGAGCGGGAATCTCACATTGGTGCTGCATTGAATTTGGCAAATTCAACACACACACAAGGACCATTCTTAAAAATAAAGAAAAAATACTGCAACTACGACAAGCTCTGCAACTACACTCATGTTCATAAATTAAGGATAATGAAGTTCAGGTAAAGAAAGAGACAGAAGCAAAACAAATTTGACTTATTTGTAAAGTCTATTTATTAAACAAAAGGTAAAGAGCAAAAAAGATCCTATATGTTTGACATAATTAATAAAAATTGCGATTTTTACTCCCTGTAGCAAATTTCAAAAAAGAACATATTAACAAAAAACAGAATAACAGGGTTAGTATGATGGTTAATACGGAGTATGTCTCTCGGACGATGCAATACAGGCCTTACAACGCCTAGGCATGCTGAGTATCAAATTATCAATCTGATCTTGAGGAATATTACACCACTCATCAAGCAATGCCCTCCGAAGTTCCAGTAGACAGGTGGGAGGGAGTTGACGGGCTGCAATTCGTCGGCCAAGCATATCCCACACATGCTCTATTGGATTCAAGTCCGGTGAGTATGCTGGCCAACCCATACCGATGATATTCTCCGATTTAAGGCATTCGTCTACAATGTTTGCACGGTTAAGACGGGCGTTGTAATCCATAAACAGAAATTCAGCACTCATGGCGCCCCGAAACAAACGTACACGTTGTTCCAGAATGACATCCCGATAGATGTGGCCTGTCATCGTTACACTCTAAACATGCAGGTCAGTTCTGGAACCAAGAATAATTCCTCCCCAAACGAGCCATCCTGCACCACCGTAACGGTGTCGTTCAATGGTGTTCTCTTGGTGGTAACGGGTACGTGACGCTCTCCATATTAAATTCCGGCAAGAATCAGACTGCCAACTATACCTAGAATCGACGGAAAACATCACACAAGACCGCTGTTGTGATGTCCACAATGCATGCTCTCTACTCTAGGTTAATCGCAGGCGACAGTGAGTTGCGATAAATGGAACACATCTGACAGGCCTACGAGCATATAGACCAATGTGCCCTAAGCGTCTGTACATGGTCCGCCTTGAAACTGTCGTACCGGTAGCTGAAGAGAGCTGACGAGACAGGTCTGATGCTTTGCTCCGTCTGTTTCTTTTGGCAGTAACTGCCAAATTCCGGTCCTCATTCGGCGTTGTAACTCGGGGGAGACCTGTGCTGTAACATCTACTCACATTACCATCATCTTGGAATCTTTGCCAAAGCCTCTAGATGACACTCTGGGCGATTCCAAGTTCCTCGGATACTTCCAGCTGGGTACGTCCACATTCCAGTCGTCCAATAGTTCTACCTCGTAAAAATCATCCGAATGCTTCCTTTTGCTCTGAAAGGCTTTTAAAGCTCTTGTGAACAATTTTACTTCTTTGCCACCTTTCCTTATATACCCCTCTCTTACACTCTCGTCATTGTAACGTACTATCCGCGCCATCTGGTGGTTCCCTGTAATTTGCATATTCTTCTTCAAGATGTGTGTGATAATTCTACAGGTGAAATTTTTATTTTAGAGTTCAATTTCTGTGTGATTCTGAATTATCCTTAAATTATGGACATGAGTGTAGAATTACCCGTTCTAGAAATATTACAATGTATGAAATGGATAATAGACTTTCTATATGGATTGACGACGAAATTGAACGCAATATTCCTTTAAGTCAATCTACCTTCTTGACAAAAAGATAGAAAATTGGAAATACAGAAGAGAGACTGAATGAGCTGAAATGTAAACATACTGACTTAGAATTTTATTTATTTTTATATGTATATTCGTTTATTATGTATCTATATTTGTAAGAAATATATTTTTGTTTATTGTTATAAAAAACATAATTCATAAATTTAATGGCAAAATAACTGACCAATTTTCCACCTATCTTCCCCTAACCCCATTATTTACATGATGAGATAACCTCGTTTAACGCTGTTTTATATTACGCTCTACTTTAATGGAACGTATACCCCGCGCTAAGCGGGGTCTTACTGTATATAGGCAAAATATTATTATTACTAGTTGCATGGCCCGGCTTTGCACACGGGCTTTCTCTTTCCCTCATGACGCCAGCAATTATGTGTGTGTTTGTACGCACGCAATGTGAGTGTGTGATTTCTAAAATTATTTCATTAAATTTCCCTTTATCGAAATTTGTTCCACATATTTTCGATTTAAAACAGGTTTTTTCCTCTCCCTCTAGCCCGGCATAACACGGTTTTTTTAGTGTAAAATTACTGTTTCCTCATCCCCTCCCCCTCACAGATGAAATATAGCTTCAAATTTTGATCTATGACTTTTAAAAAACAATATTGCATTAGTTAAAAATTATTAATGTGAAGCAATAAAAAGAAAACGATTCTTTAGTTAGCTTAAAAATGTCTGTGAAATGTATTATTATCCAAAATAATAGACAATGTACTTTTTTAATTAACAAATAATTAATTTAGTAATGAATTAATAGAAATACTTTTAAAAAACATATATATATATACATATATATATATTTATTTATATATATATACATATATATATATACATATATATATACATATATATATACATATATATATATACATATATATATATATATTTCCCTACTTTCTTGACAATTGTCGTTATATTTTGAAAACTTCTCACAATATCTTTATAAATTTTAGCCTATGTGTTATTCTGATGTATAAGCTATATTACTGTAAAGTTTCATTAAAATCCATTCAGTTGTTTTTGCGTGAAAGACCCACAAAGATACTCACAAACTTTCGCATTTATAAAATATATTAGATTATAGAAGGATTCCCCATAAAAAGGGAATGTTTTAAAATTATGTAATTTTTTTCTTCATTTTTTGCCAAAAAATTGCATTAAGATTATTTTTTTCCAATAATATTTTTAAAACAGTTTTATATGTATATTCTAATTTAGGTGATACTAAATATCTAATACTAACTACTAAATTTTTAAAACCACGCTCCGAATGTAGTAGGATACCTTAATTCTATTTCTCGGAAAGAACTAGTAAGAGATGAAGTTAATGTTTCCTTATAAAATTACAAATTTTTGGTGTCAATTGGGTAAGTACACACGTGTGTGTGTGTGTGAATATAGTCTTTTAAAAATTTCCCATTCTATTTGTTCACACATTTTACCAACTTTCGTAGTGTTATTTTACAGCATTCCGTGAAATTCAAAAGCAATTAAATGATTAGCCCTAACATTTTAATAATGTAAGGCGATGATGAGACAGAGCAATCTGCTTTACACTTTAATGTGGCACCCAGAGTTGTGTGCAACCTATGGAGAAAGTTTAACGTGACGGGTTTGTAGAGAAGGGGCTTGTAAAAGATCTTCTAAGAGCACGAGAAACAATGAAGATCGATATTTGTCGATTATAACGAAACGTAACATGAGTACAACTGCTTTTCAGCTGTCTGTGAACTTCATGGGATCATAGGAATCGAAGTTTATGGACTTCTGTTTCCAAATGGCTGCATTGCACCTTGCTCATTTCTGAGCAGATAGGCTATTTAGCATAGAGTTGAGAATACCGGTATTAAACCAAGGATGAAGGGGTGTTTGTTCTTTTAAATCATGAGTCCAATTCCGACTGATCAGTAATTTAATCGAAGGTAGTGAGGGATAAGCTGTATGTCTAACTTTCGAGAAAGATGCTAGTGTGTAAGCAGAGATTAATAATCTTGTCATTGTAACGTTTCCCCATCACACAGCTGAAAAGTCGGCTTACTTTTATGGGTAGGACAACTGCGTTCCTATGCACACGTGCACCCTTAAAATAGAGCGAGGTCTTGTCTTTGGTCATCACCCCGGTAACCTTTGACACTCAGAGAAACCCTCTACTACACCCATGAGCCGGGCGTAACTCGAGGATAAAGAGGTCGACAGCTACCCTCCCGAGACCCTAGAGAGGGCAGAGAGAAGTCCGTTGGAAAACTTCAAACATTACAGATGTAATCTTCTCCCTCACAATAACTGGACTCTAATGAACTAACCAATCTTTTAAATAGCTTCAATGTGTGTGTACATACTGTAATTAATAGCTGAGACGTATAAATAAAGCAAATATTTAAATTAATAAATATTACGCTACTATTTTTCTCAAACGTCACAGCATGCATCACATTATTACTGGGCTTCCATACCTTTGACAGAGGCTTTGCGACTGTTGACATTAAAAAACAATCAAACGATGCGATTAGATATTTTCAAAAAATCTCGCACGTTTAGAGTATTTTCCCTCAAATTCTTGCTTGTTAAATTGGAATTCCTGAAATGTCTCTGTTCTTAAAGTCGATACTTCTGAGTTGCAGTGCAATGATGGAGTCAACAACTAATGTGGCACCTCTCTCAATCACCATGCCACGTGAGAATTTTGAGGTATGTTTGCATTTACACGAATACCCTTTATTAAACAGAACAAGTAATATTAAAAAAAATTAAGTCAATTTCTCTACTTGGGTCAACAAAGAAAATTTTTATTTTAGTTACTTTTTCTTAAATAGTTACAATTAATATAAATATGTATATACATTTGACAGAATCACAATATTAAGTGACGAAATAGAAAGTAATTTTCCGTTTTCCTTTCTATATACGGTGTTGGACTGTTTTTTTTCGTTTGTTACTATTTGTTCATAAATTAAGTTTAATTATTCTAATAAATAGTACGGTAAAATTTAGGTCATCCCAGGTGGGATTCGAACCCACGACCTTTGGATTAGAAGTCCAACGCACACACTAAACACTGTGCTACAGTGACACAATGAACATGTTTTATTTCTATATATGTTATTCAACTATTATCTTTGTTACTGTTTATTCATTTTTTAATTTAATGAATGAATTAATATTTTTGTGTGTGAAAAACTGTATTAACATCAAGTGTCATTCATTACAAGTTTAAAAAATGTATTTGAACTTAAATGAATGAATAGAAAGTATTTTATTAACGATTGAAAATTTGAACAAGATATATATAGATAAGGAGAGAGTGAACTAATAGAGAGAGAGAGAGAGAGAGTAGAAATTGAAAAACTGCTTTGAATTGAGCAAGAACCCAATGTCGCCAGACATAAACCTTTTGTTTTTTAAAACTAAGCTGTTAGGGATTTAAAATTCTGAAAACAACATTACTATAATAAGGAAATTTAATTTAATATCAAGAAAAATATTCTTATCTTTTTCTTTCAACTTTTTTCATTCATCAATGCATGTTTTTGCTGCCACTTGTGCAGTTTATCAAGTAGTCTAATTAAATATAAATGACAAAAATAATTGAATAATTAGTTACAATTTATACATCAATTTTACTTCTAACAATATAAGTTTTGCACTTGGAAATGATTCAACAAGCAAGAAGATCAATCTAAGGAAAGTGAATCAGTTTGAGGTCTTTGAAATTTTTCTTTTACAGATTACAAAACTAATTTATATAGACCAGCAAATAAAATTTTAAGTTACTTTTATTTTAATTAATATAATTTCTGTGTACGGATTCGAAGACATTTTAATTATCACATTGAATGAATAAACAGATACAAATTGGGATCAGAGACAGGAAGAAACAATAAGAGAAATGCATAATTCTTAACAATTAAATTATTTAATTTTTCACAACAGAATCAAAAGCATAAGAGATCCATTCTACTCGAGTAAATATTCCGATCTGCAAAGTAAGGTACCGAATACAAGAACTTAAATAGAATATAACGTTTTGTTTAATTTAATAACCAACTTTTTTTAATGGATACATTTTAATTCACAATTTAATATGAAATATTAGTGATTGAATAAATTTATTTAGGGAGCATATTCTATTGAGTTAAATAAATTATACTTGCATATAAAATTGAAAAATTCTCTTTCATTAATTCTAGTTTAGTTTTTAAGAAAAAATTTTAATTTAAAATAATTTTTTTAGTATTTTTTAATTTAAAATCATTTTTAGAACTCTGTAAAAAAGAGATCAATGAAGAAGGCAAATTTCTAAATGATTAAGTATTTCGATAGTTAATAAAAGTCAGTTAATTACAGGCTGCAATTCTCACCATAACACCTCTGATAGATCATTGTTGCCAATATTAATAATACCAGAATTGAAATATATTGATTACCGAAATTATGATAAAATATCTATTATGTCATTTAAATTTTAAGAAAAATATATGTAGTAAGTATTACCAAAAACATTTTATAAGACACTGAACCTTTTTTTTAAAAAAAATTGTTTTCATCATTCAGACTTCCATTTTTATCTGTAATTTATAGCGCACAATATATATTCATAATACTAATAATTGCACACAAAACATTAAACTTAAAAATTTAATCAAAAATATGAGTAGAAAATTAGAAAAGAAAAAGATTTATTAGATTTATGTTTCATTGTTATATTGTGGCAGGGATGGTGAACCAATGGCACGCGTACCACTGCTGGCACGCGACATAAAAATTTAATCAAAAATATGAGAAAATTAGAAAAGAAAATGATTTATTAGATTTATGTTTCATTGTTATATTATGGCAGGGATTGCGAACCAATAGCACGCGTGCCACTGATGGCACGCGACACAATATTTTGGGCACTCCACCGTTCAAAATAATGAAGTTCATTATGAAGTATTACAAACAAACGCTAGTGATCGGTCGCGGGGTGGCTGGAATTTGATTCCAGAGACATTTAACTATTTAAGGAAGCTAACATATACCATTTTAACCATATTTTAATGTACCTATGCTTGTAAGTCATTATTTTCAGAGATGAATAACATTAAAGACTCCCTTAAAAACCGTTTGGCAGATAACTCCAATTCAGCATGCATTCTGCTAAAAGTAATATCTTATAATCCTAATATAAGTTATTTGTCATCCACAGTCTCAAGCAACAGAAGTCACACTAATGTTACTTTAATTTGAACAGAGCATTTACTACTATACAGTGCAAAATGTAATTTTTGTAGCAAATAAAGAGTTTTGAGTTGTTGGTATTTAGATTAATTATTTTCCCAACAATCACAAGTCAAAATTATTTGAAGGCACATCTATACCTCATTAAACATTTCTTCAGAAAAAATTGGCACGTTGATCCTCTAAGGTTCGCCACCCCTGTACTATGGCATTCCACTTTAGATGAGCGGATCAAGCCTCCCTGTCCGAATCTATATCATAGACATACATATTAAAACGGATATCATTATCTATAGTAGTTACAGTATTTTAAATTTAAATAAAATTTTAAAACAAAAGAATCATTATCAAACCACTGGAATGCTATGGAATTTTTAACGTTTACAGACGTCCAAGGTCTAATTGAACCCATGATGTATTTAAATAAAAAAATCAAATCTTCTATATGTATCTTTATTTTGTATTAAAAATAATGAGAGTACTCCAAGGATATCAGATTGGATTAGAACAGAGGTGTACAAGTCTTTTGGCTCGAGGGCCACTTTTCGGAAGTAGAGGTTGCCGTGGGGCCCCACCTTTTTAAAATGATTGCATTCATTAGATAACTTTGTATCTCAGAAAGAGTATGCATTGTATCATAAAATTCGATAAGAATAAGTTCAGTAAAATTGTTGCAGTTTTATTCAATTTATTTACAGTGCTAATTTCACACATCATCTATAACTGCAAGCTCATTTAATTTTAGAATCAACTTTATCTGCGACTACTTGCGACAACTTTTTTTTTTGAAAAAATGGAAATATGGGGATTTTGGGGGGATTTTTAGATTTATTTAGTATATTTGAAGGAAAAAATACTAAAATTGAAAGCAGAAAAAAAATTTATTATTATTAAAATGGGATAAAACTGGTAAAAATGTACAAAAAATTACATAAACGGGGCCCGCTCTGTACCAACTTTTATCGGAAAATTCTCAATTTTTCAATTTTGACGTGTTACTTTATTATTCATGTATGAACTGACCTTCAGGATAAGAGATATTTTAATTTTTACAAAAACTAGAGCACTTTATGTTAGTGATTATATGAAATTGCTTAAAAAGACAGTGATTATATTCACATAAAGGACTGTAAATTTTGAAATAAAGTAGTGATTGATAAATCTGAAGCTCAAAACATTTCTACTGTTATACAGAACATACACAAAAAATCTCAGCAAATTATTTTCAAATCTTTTTGAGCCATCGCTGTCTCCGTTTGAACTTTTCGCAAAAAACACATTTCCAGTAAAACGCATTTTAAAGTTTGACACCTTGTGTAAAGTTATGGCATCTGCTTTTACTAAAACACTTGTAGGTTTTTGTTCTAGTGAATGGAAAATAAAAATCTTGGTATTTTAATTAAGCTAATATGATGGCCTATAAAAAATCATAAACAAAATTTGTCAATTTTTGAAAATAATCATGATTTTAGGGTAGTCGGATACCTTAAAAAAACAATTATAGCACTGGCGTTGTTAGTTCACCATGTATCAAAATTCCTTTGGGGCCCTTTTTTTAGGAATGAGAATCCTGTTAGAGGGACTGTATTTACACATGTTAGGACCCTTGTAGGCTTGAAGCCCCGGATAATCAATACGGCTGATACGGCGATAACTAAGCCCCTGAAATGTACCCTATCACAATTTTGCACGTTTTGTTTTTAAATCAATAATGAGATTACCTGTTTAAATTCTCCTCACAGCTTACAAGTTAATAACAGCCAACTTGCCGTTATACTGCCGTGCTTCTGTTGAGCTTCATACAAAAAAAAATCTTTGCTCACAAATCTAAGTTGATTCAAATATAGAAAACATTATCTGTCTATTTGGTTTACATATTGTTTTGGTGAGGTACAAAAAATTTTTCGCGAGCCGCTCGTTGTCCACCCCTGGCTTAGAAAATCCACGGGCTAAACATATGCACACAAAAAGTCAATTTTTTTAATTTACGGTCCAGTATCTGCATTAATTCACTTCATTCTAGCATTGCTTCAGAAAATAACTGTTACTGCTCAGAAAATAAATTTCTCAATGGGACATTTTTTTTTCTGCTTAAAAACCTATGTTCCAGAACTGTTTTTCGAAAAGCTCAAAGGTGAAGTTTTAGGCCAATAAACATTTATTTGATAACTTGTTTGTGTTTGATATCGTTTCAAAATTCTTACTCCTTAATTATTTTTACGATGAATTCTTTTTTTCCCTTCTACTTTTTCTGCATAAAATTTACTGTATTTAACCCACACATGCACCTGTGGAAGTGCTGGTTTATCCATTGGGCGCTTGGGGTGGCCCAGGGGCCCGGTAGAGTCCAGATAAGCTGGACTTAACCAGGTTTTCTGGTAATAAATTCGATCCGTCCGTACCAAGGAGTCCTGTAGATCTTCAGAGCCCAGGGCCCGAAATGAGCTTAAATCGGCCCTGATCTGTGGATTCCATGTATATTGGTAACCAAAAAATTCATTTGTGAGAGCAGAGAAGATAAAAAATACGTAGGATGTGCTAAGAATTATGCGATAAAAAATAAAATAATTTGGCAAGCGATTCAATTATTATAAAACGATACAAACAGTACTAAAAATACAATCAACATGTGGACCTATTACTTAGTTTTCATACCAATTTCATAAATAATTCTGAAATCACGCATTTGTTTCGATTAATTTAACAAACTAAATCAATAAATATTCATACAGGATTTATTTGTGTTGCTCCAATTTTTTTTATAGTGCTTGTGACGGGCTCAAGCATCTTTTCATTAACATGTCTTTTTGGGGTCTTTGGGGCCAGAATGAATGGCAACTCTTTTCCAACCAA